CCCGCTTCTCCCGGGCCAGTACTTCAGCAAAGTAGGAGAACACGGTGGGAATGGCTCCTCCGATCCTGCCAAGAGGTACAGAGAGTACATGAACCCTGGGCCAGGACAGCTAACTAGATGCAAAGGGCAGAGCCAAAGCAAGCTCTAACAACACATGCTATATCCCCGGCATATCAAGGAATGTATATTTTCTATTAAAATGATAAAATTATAGTCTCCATGTTTCATATAGGCTAATTATCACCAAATCTTGAACCTGCAGTTAAACTATGGTACCAAAAGATGACAGTGGTGCCCTACTCATGTGGTTTATAAAGCTTAGCTTGACATTCCGATGGGCTTTCTGCTCATTACAAAAATTTGGTATAATCTAGTGAATATTTTAATTAACTCATTTTTAAAAAGAGATGCTGTGCTATGTCCCACCCATGATGTGGGGACTTTGAAAACAGCTTCAAATACCTTTTGGGAGCTGTCTGCAGCCTGTATCACTGTTACCCCATAGCAGCTGGTCCTGCAGCCCAATCAGGCTGATGTGTTGACAAACTCAGGACCAATGAGGTCACTTCCTAAATGAGCTCTAGTCCCAATCCAATAGATATCACTGCTGAGTGAGTACACATGAAAGAGACACTTATCGAATCAAATGCAGAGCTGTTGGTTTAGATATCAACAGAATGGAGTACAGTGCTTCCTTCCAGTAGGAGCCGGTTACAACAACTGCTGACTGAGCTCTGGGGAGATGATATAAACTGTGACCCCTACCTAGGTGAAGAGTTCTCAGACGAGGGTCTAAGGAATCAAAATGTTGTACCTTCTAGGGAGATGGGCCATAGACTTTATCAGCATTTCAAATAGGTCTTGAGTCTAAAATTTTAGGAACCACTCACTGCCTTAGCAAGTAAGGTAGTATGGAAAAATATTACTAACTACTATTCCAAACAATATGTGAATTCTTAAAATAAATACTTTTTAAAAGATTTACAACAACATAAGCAGGTTGTTGAGATGACACCTAGTCTAATAGTTAAGAAGTATATACTGATTCACTTATGTGCAGATTTTTGTAAGGTAAATTGCTATTGACATTTCATGTAAATTTGATGTCAAAGAGTAAAACATGTTTATCCATTTAGCAATAACTGATTTTCTTAGGACCTTTGATGTGATTAAAAAGTACTGGGGTGACCTTAGCAAATGCAATTTAGAGAAAGGCCATTTTTGCAGCAAATTGGATGTACCAACGGAACCACAGGATTGTCAAAGAGTAAAACATGTTTATCCATTTAGCAATAACTGATTTTCTTAGGACCTTTGATGAGATTAAAAAGTACTGGGGTGACCTTAGCAAATGCAATTTAGGGAAAGGCCATTTTTGCAGCAAATTGGATGTACCAACGGAACCACAGGAATAATAATGTCATTCTGTATCAGCTGGTAGGTCAAAATATGGCACCATTTCATGTGTTTGCCCTGATTAAGGTAATGTCTATGGGAAGATCAGTGTTTTTCAATCTGAGAGCTGCTAAATTAATTTAGTACAGATTGAGTATCCCTTATCAAAAACGCTTGGAACCAGAAGTGTTTTAGATTTCATATATATTTTTTTTTTTTGGATTTTGGAACATTTACATCATTCTTGTTGGATGAGCATCCCTAATCCGAAAGTCTGAAATCTGAATTGCCTTCAATGATCATTTTCCTTCGATCATGACTTTCGGGCATCACCTTGGCACTCAAAATGTTTTGGATTTTTGAGTATTTTGGATTTTGGATTCTCAGATCAAGGATGCTCATGTAGCTGTAAAACAGCATTTTAAAATATAAGACAGAGATGAAAATATTTGAATGCAACCCAAGTATTAAGGATAAGCATAAGTACTATTTTAAGAAACTTTTGTGTTATAAACATATTTATAATGTATTATGTACATATATAGTATATAATGGGTCATAGTGTGTTTCTTAGTGAGAGTCGCTATTCAAAGAGCTTAAAAATCGCAAACTTAAAGTGTCTCTATGTGTTTTCCAGGCTATGATAATGTTGATTCTACCTAAAATCCCTAGAGGTATGACTCCAGATGTCTTCAAATGTAGCACATGGTAGTTTAGCAACTTCACACACATGGGCAGCCAACCAGGTCCAAGTCCATCAATCAGACCCTCCATCAAGAAACACACGCATGTGCTGGGCAGTGAGAGCTGACTCTCTGCCGCACCCCATCAGACTCACACAGCTCTCTTGCCTGGCTTCTGGAGGTGCTCATACCACGGATAGCTCGTGGAATTAAAAAATTCAACAATGTTTTGAACAGATTTTAAATGGCTTCATTTTAACACACAATTTTAGTGGGAAATAAAATGTCTGTGTCACAAATCATTTAATACTGCTACTCCTTTTCCAATTTGATGTGAAGAATCCATTTCTCTGCACCATAAAGTCCCAGGTCCCTACTCTGTGGCTTCACTTTTCAATGCATAATAAGAGTCTCAGTTTTTTTCCGATACTAGTTAATGTTTCATCAGGATTCTGGATGCTCTATGTGTACTAGCAATAATTTAAATCTCATGAAGGAACAATTGCATGTTAAGATATGCCAGGCCCCTCTGAACTGAGAGGAATGTACTCTAGTGTGGCTAAAATTTCCAGTGGAAGACTATAGATTTGCCTGTTAGTTTTAAACAAATCATTGCTACATAAGAGAATGCCAACTTTGAGCAGCTTATAAGCAATCCAGCTGGCTCTGATTCTTTCTTAAGGTGGTTATTTTGGCATGGATGTCTCTCAGTATCTGTTTGTAAAGAAGACTGCAAGGAACTTAATACCAAGGGATAAATGAGTCTGAAGAATTAGTGAGGGATTCTATTTAAATCTTTTACAAAGTTCTTTAGATTCAGAGACCTATAAAACAATCCAAGCATTTGCATTTCTTATTGTGGGCTGATCCTTTATTTGGGGAAAAACATTACTCCTCGTCTTCCTGTGATGTCGTTTAAGCAGAGAGGAAAAACAACATTACAGCATGCTGCAACATTAACTGTTACTAGTATTTCATACACTGTCAGCTACTTGAAGGTGGGGACTATATGGAATTCAACTTTGAATCCTCATTACCTGGCCCAGTGGATGTGCAATAAGGGTTTACTCAAAACTGAATTTCACAGACTTTCCAGTGTTGGAGTTGGCACACCAAGTCTCCTGGAGTAATCTGTTCTGATGACCTAAACAGCTCCAATGAATGGAAATATACACCCTCCTTCCTGGGTCAATATAGCCACAAAAGAAGTTGAGGCTGCTGGAATGGAAGTTCTGATAGCAATGTAGCCCCCTAAGAGTTTCCGAGTTACTCTATGTCATAGTTGCTATAGTTACCCCTTGGCCAGATGCCCTGATGGTCCTTGTCACACCCTCCTTCCTGGGTCAATATAGCCACAAAAGAAGTTGAGGCTGCTGGAATGGAAGTTCTGGTAGCCCCGTAAGAGTTTCTGAGTTACTCTATGTCATAGTTGCTATAGTTACCCCTTGGCCAGATGCCCTGATGGTCCTTGTCATGGAGAGTTGACTTGGAACTAACTGGTCAGAGGACACTGGCCCTTCCTACTGGGCATTCCAAGAGCTTCCCAAACACCTATGTGCCTTTCAGAAAAATGTTGCAGATATTATAATTATCATAAATAAAATATGTAGACAAGAGATAAAGCAAGAGCTTTCATGCCTTACAATATAATTTGGTTCTGATAAGTGCTGAAGATAAGATAAAGCTGCCACTCCCAGCCCCCAAATCTCGTAAATTAAAAAAAAAGCTTCCAATTACTATTCTACCTCAATATTTTGTGCAGGAGGTGAATACATTTCCATATTTGTTGTTTTTGTTGTTTATTGCATGAAGTTACAATTTCTGAGAATACATGAAGAGCTAAAAAATATTTAAATGGAAATTCCCACGTTATCAGTAGTTCTTAAACAGAGCTGATTTGATGCCTCACTCCCCAGCCTCCACCCTCCCGCTGCAGATATTTGGCCATGTCCAGAGACATTTTTAGTTGTCACAACTCAGGGGATGCTAATGGCATCAAGTGGGCAGAAGTCAGGGATATTGCTAAACATTTTTAAATGAACAGGACAACTCCTCACAAAAAAAGAATTATACAGCCCAGAATATTAATGGTACTAAGGTTGAGAAACTCTTACATTGGGGATTTAATGTGAAAAGTATAATTGGTTTTATATAAACAATCAATAATATAAGCCATAAAATCATTATCTTTTACATTACTTGGTGAGTAATACATCCTTAAATCTGGTTAACATGGAGAATTTATTATTCATTATATAATAACCAGTTAGCTACTGTTGAAATCTGCTCAAGTTCTTTTTTTTCTCAAGTTCGTTTTTGATGGAATGTTTACATAAATGGGGCAATGAGATCAGAGTGGTTTATAAAGAATTTTTCTCAGTATCAGATATTGTCTATTAGTTATCAAAAAAATTCAAATTTTAATTATTCTTGGTAATGGGAGACACAGAAGGAATAATAATTATAATTCACATTCTCTATATATGGAAGATTAGTCAGATTCAAAATAATTGGATTTGTACAAATGAAATAGAATAT